AAAAAAAAAAAGTCGGAAGGGGTTCACATTTTTTCCGTCATCTACTTGCTGTGTCGAAAGGGCTACTCTTGTTGCTTACTGATGTCGTGACAGAAATCTCAATACAAGATTAAATACGTAAACATTGGAAAGCAGATAAGTTGGATGAATGGCAGTCATTTTTGTCCCCCTCCTCTCTGGCTTTCCTCACCTGTACTCTGCAGAGTACTTACTGATTTCAAATGTGGAAGAACTAGACTCTGTCCTGAATAGGGTTACTTGTTTGGACTGTTTTTAATGTTTATTTTTATTTAAAATGCTCATTGAGGTGGCACCTAGCCACAAGTTTATTAAGTCCACTTTATGAATTCACTTTTATCCTTTTTTTTTTTTTAGTGAAGAAAGTTAAATTTAAAAAATAAGCATTAGGTGGGGCACCTGGGTTTCTCAGTTGGATAAGCAATCCGACTCGATTTCAGCTCAGGTCGTGATCTCAGGGTCCTGGGATCGAGACCTGCGTCAGTCTCCGTGCTCAGTGGGGAGTCTGCTTGAGGAGTCTCTCACACTCTCCCTTTGCCCCTCCCCCAACTCCTGTGTGCACGAACTCTCTGTCAAATAAATCTTTTGGGCGCCTGGGTGGCTCAGTCGGTTAAGCATCTGCCTTCGGCTCAGGTCGTGATCTTGGGGTCCTGGGATCAAGCCCCGCATCGGGCTCTCTGCTCAGCAGAGAGCCTGCTTCTCTCTCTCCCTCTGGTGCTCCGCCTGCTTGGGCTCTTTCTCTCTTTCTGTGTCAAATAAATAAGAAATCTTTGGGGAAAAAAAAATATTTAAAAAAATAAAAAGCATAAGGTGATTTCTATATTAACTAGTATATTCTTCAGCTTTCAGAATTAAAGCTAATGTGAAGATAACACCTAAGCTATGGAAATAAGCTATAAAACTGCGTGTGTGGATACACGAATGCACTGAAGGGAGAATAATTATTTCACAAAACAAGGTGGTTTTTATTCCTGTTAGAATTCAGTTTTTTAAAAAATAAATATTCTTGTTTCCAAGGAAGCACACATTTAATTGTGGAAAATCTAGAGAATACAAGTACAGATTTAGAGAAATATTGACTACGCTTATAAAATTAATATGTGTGAGGTATGTATCACACACCCATCTAGGTAAATGTAGTGTATAATTTACTTTCTGGAGATGTCTATCTCAAATTTTAATACAAAGCATTATACAAAAGGCCATAAATATGACCTAACCAAATAACTGACAGTAACTTAATTGATTATACAGTGAATGAGCTAATACTGTTAAATATACATAAGACTCCTATTTGCGTATGTGGCTCCCAGACATCTTTTCTGTAACCCAGACTGGTGAGTATCATTTTAGCACATAATAGTGCCCACTTGTGAATGAGAGCAGAAAAAAGATTATATTGGATATTGATGTTTAGTTACCTACTAGGCTTTGTAACCACCTCAGGGACATCCCCACCAATTTTAATAACCAGGCTGTTTGAACTTAGGTCTTAATGAATTTATAAATTGTGACACACCATGGGCCTCAGTGCTAGATGTTTAAATGCACGAAGACAAGGATGTGTATCATGTTCATACAGCAGGTTTTTAAAAACCCATCTGTTAGAGCTCATACTTTCAAGGAAGTGTTTTAGTCAACATGGTTGCATAAGAGGTTATGAATTGTCTCCATAATCTAGGACTGTAGTTTTGTGAATGTAGTTACTCAGCAGCATTCATTGAGTGTTGTTGGCATTTCTACAGGCCGTCTGGATGTAATAATGGATGAGACAGGTAGACTCCAGTCTCATGAGGGAGAGAGATGACACCCAGCCATTGAGACAGGAGTGGAAGGTGGCACAGGGTGGTAGAGGTTCCTGCCCCACCCAGTCCCTGGAGTCAGGACACTTGTAAAAGCAGCATGATTTCTACGCTGAATACTGGCAGTGGAATTCCAGGGTGTGGGTGGGGCACTGAGAAAGAAAACAGTGTCCTAAGAGATGAAATGAGGAAGCAGACATGAAGTCCAGTTGTCTTCTCTTACCCCAGACATTAAAGAGATTCGCACTTCTCATCAAATTTTTTGTTGGGGAAAATACGTTTTTCATAAAGATACATGATATAAAAAAAAAAACGGGATGTATCATGGTCAAGGCTAGAGTTAAGGCCGAGAATACCTGCTGCTTCAGGAGACTGTTAGGAGTCAGACTGCCCTTTGAAAAGCCCCAGCCTTTGGCAGAGGGAATGGCATGCAGTAGGTACTCCATGAATGCTTACTGATAACTGACTGACAAAATGATTGTTGCACAATTGAAGAATCCTTGTTGAGGTCTAAACCCAGAGAGGTCTAAACCTTGGACAGCTTGCTAATTCATTATCTCACTTCCAGGAGTGCCTGAGTCATCCCAACAGGAGAGTCCAGGCGGCCAAGGCATACCGAACCTGCCTCAGATACTTGGGGTGAGTACTGTGACAAGGACCGTACGTACTTGGATTTTAAAATTGGGATACATTTGTTTATATCAAATTCGTTCGATTTAAAATAACTCAGTTTGCATATGCACTGAAACACGTACATACGTACACACACTCACAGACTAAAAGTTTAATTGCCGTGACTTAAGGTAAGTCAGCATTTGTTTTTTCCTGGTTCGTGCTGACTGGTTCAAGTCCAGTCTCTCTACCACTTGTAACTGTGTGACCTTGGGAAGGTTACTTGACCTCTCTGTTCCTCAATTCCCGATCTATACATTATGGATGATGATTACACCTAAATTACAGAATGTGTATGAAGCTACATGAGTTGATACATGTAAGGAGCATAGAATACCGTTTGTCATATAGAACTGTGTAAATATTGTACTGTCATTATCCTAAACCATGAAATATCAATATTAAAAGCATTTAACTTACCACATCAAATAGTCTGTAAAATAGGTGTTAGCATATACAAGATAATGATTAAAATGAAAACATTTTAGATGTTTCTGGAGGTACCTGGCTGGCTCAGTCAGTAGAGTATGTGACTCTTGATCTTGGGGTCGTGAGTTTGAGCCCCACGTTGGGTACAGAGATTGCTTAAATAAATCAACTTAAAAAATTTTTAAACGTTTCTAAAGCCAAATGAGTTAATATATGCAAAGAGCAGAGAATACCGTGTTGTAGAAACTATTCTATTTTTGCTGTTTTTAAACTTGATAATATTAAAAACATTGAGATTACTGGATCAAACTAATACTTTACTGTCTGTCATGAAGGTTTTGATTATTTTCAACATTTTAAATATGTTGATAGGCATGAACTATGAAAATAAGGATGAAATTAAGTGGAGAAAATGGAAATGTAGTCATTTGGAATACCTTCTCTGAGTTCAGATGAAAAATACATCCTCAAGGAACCCAGTTCCATGGAACTGAATACATTTTAAAATCTAATTCATTTTTCTTGCAATTTATGGATCTGGAATTATTAAAATGTTCATATCTTTGAGCTAATGGGGCATAACAAATTTAATTTGCAAAACAAAGATGACATGACTGGAACATGATCCATAATCACTTTCTTTCCCTTCAACTTCTCGTTGTAGGCACTCTATTAGAAAGATAGACAAGTCAAGCGTATTTTATAACTTCTTAGAACTTTCCAAATAAATAAGCTCTTAGAAAATCATAAAGGAATAGAATTTTGGAACAAAACCGTTCCTCAGAATCTGTCTTTTACAGTGTTTCTCAGTTGTGTAGGGCACAGCCTTGGCCGGCAGCTTCCCCGACAAGAGTGGGCCCTCACTTCCCATGTGGCAGCAGATCTGCATGTGCTGCGTTGGGACACAGCCAGCCCACCGCCCTGCTTGCAGCGGGTCTCTCAGATCTTTCTGGAAGGCGGATTGCAGCAGCACGTCTCCGAGGCTGCTGGTCACTGAGGTGTCTGAGGCCGGCTTAGCGCCTGCCTGTGGTCTGATCGTTTGCCGCGTCTGACAGAGATGACCCGAGTTCAGTGTTGGTCCACTTCTGGGGTGTCTGACTTCATAGTGTCGTTTCTAAAGATCGTTCACGTTTCACGCTGGTGTTTTGCCAGAGTCTGTGGCAACAGGGTAGAAGCTTGTCCCTGTGAAGGGCCATTTAGTCTCCCTGTAGCGGGGATGATGATGATTAGTTCTGGTGGTAGTAATTATAGTAGCAAAGGGAGAGGAGGGAGTGAGAGGAGGGGGAGGACTAGAGCAGCGGTCCTAACGACGTTAATATTTATTGGTCACAGGGCTAGGGACTGCCACGTAAACTCTCATGTACTACTTACAGCGCACGACAAGGAACGGATCAGTGTGATTCTCATTTTGCAGACAACATACGGAGCAGTTCAGTAACTTGTCCCAGCTCGTCAAGCTCGTAAATGATAGAGGTAGAATTCAGACGTAGGGATGAGGACTCCCTCACAGCGGCTCCCATCCCCTGCCCTTAGAATCAAGACCCGGGCTGGATTATTCCGGATGCTGCCTGTAGAATGTAACCTGTCACTACGTAGCTGATCTTTTAAGCCTGGATTTCCCCATCCACAGAAAGTCTAATAATAATCACCAGTCTGACTTTCTCATGGGGGTAATGTGAGGGAGAAGAAAAAGATGTTGTTGAGAACGTGTTCTGTAAACTGTAAACCCTTCATCAATAAATGCTGGTTATTATCTTACTGGTATTAAACGTTTTGTGTTCTAGAAATGAGAGCATGTGGTTCTAAAACTTTGACAACAGCAAGTGATATAAATTCATTCTCAGGAATTACGATCCCAGATTTTAGGAGCTGGAGGTCATCCAGTTCGTATTTATGAACTCAACCCTGCTGCATATTTATATCATTTGGGGGAGCTTTTGAAAATGGCTGTTGCCCAAGATTCAATCCACTTTTGGAAATCAGATTTAATTGGCCTGCTGTAGGACTTAGGCATCTAAGTATACGTAGACTAGGAGTTAAGTATATGTAGATGTGCACGCATCCGTATTTGTACGTGTAAGTGTTTGTATGTGTGTGCATGCGTGGGTACGTGTGTGTGTGTGTGTTTTCTCTCAGGGTGATGCTAATGTGTAGCTAGGGGGCAAAATGGCTGGACTGAACGATAAGCTTCCTTCTGATGTGTGGGCTAAGTGTATGTTTACGAAGGACGGCTCCCATTGACACGTGTTGCCCACTGTCCCACCTGGCAGCCCACCCCTTTCACTGTCAAGTGTCGTTTAGATGGTAAATTATATATATGTTATAAAAATTATATAAATTGTATAGTCCCCTACTGATGAGGAACTGAGGCTTTGGGAGGCTATTTTCCTGTTAAAAGGAATCAAATATGAGATTGCTTTAGAGTCATGTTGAACATCTTGTTGGTAAGCAGGATGTTTCTTCAGAGTCTTAAGCTGAGAGCATTTCTTAATTTTTCTATGATAATAAGAACTCTTTAAAATAGGAATAGGCTCTGTTTCCATGTAAGCCAACAAAATTTTTGCAATACCGAGGTCTCCCATCCCAGCGGATTCATTTGTGTAGAAAACAGTTGATCATCCTTTATAATTTCTGAAAGCACCTTATTGTGAATACTGCCCTTTGTTTTTTAGAAAATTAACTTGAGAAAACAAATCAGCAGTTTAATCAAGTGTCACACATGACACTTAATCAAGAACATCACACATGGTCCAGCAGGGCCACAACATACGTAATGACAACATTTATGAAACCTCGAACCAAAAGAAGATGTGACTCTGACCAAGAGATCTGACCTGTTGTTTCTCTGACAGGCAGCAATGCAGTGTAATTAAGAGCTGAGTCGGGGCGCCTGGGTGGCTCAGTTGGTTAAGTGACTGCCTTCGGTTCAGGTCATGATCCTGGAGTCCCGGGATCGAGTCCCGCATCGGGCTCCCTGCTCGGCAGGGAGTCTGCTTCTCCCTCTGACCCTCCTCCCTCTCATGCTCTCTGTCTCTCATTCTCACTCTCGCAAATAAATAAATAAAATCTTTAAAAAAAATAAAAAAATAAAATAAAATAATATTACTTGACATCTAATATTGCGGCTGCAACATTTCATTTAATTTTTTAACATGACATTATCACTCCCCGCAGAATGAAAAATATTACACTAAATGTCATACCTTCACCTTATGGTGTGTCTGTGTGTTTAATCATGAACTGTGTGTCTGGCTTTCTTTTTAATGCTAGTGATAACAGCAGGGTGGCACATAAACAATGCCTTCTTATACTATTTGTTGGGGGCAGAGTCAGGAAGATATGGTGTAATCACCTTAGAACCTGGAGTGCTTTCCCACTTTACTGCTGTTCCCCTGATCTCTTCTTCCCTAGGAGGGGATCCTTGGAACTCAGGCGAACATTACCCCCTTCATTACAGAGTGTTACAAATGGGGCGCCTGGGTGGCTCAGTTGGTTGAGCGACTGCCTTCCGCTCAGGTCATGATCCTGGAGTCCCGGGATCGAGCCCCGCATCGGGCTCCTGGCTCGTCGGAGAGCCTGCTTCTCCCTCTGACCCTCCCCCCTCTCATGTGCTCTCTCTCTCGTTCTCTCTGTCTCAAATAAATTAAAAAAAAAAAAATTAAGAGCTGAGTCTTTCTCAGCCCTTGTCAGAGTTGATTTTGGCATTAGGGTCAGCATTACCCAGAATGTCCATGCCTCAGAATAGCTAGGATGCTTTCCAGCCTGCAGTCTGGCTTTTCAAGGGTACACAAGAAGTCTGTATTCAGTACACATACAGATCCATGCACGTGGGCCTTTTGCTATGGGAGTAGTAAGAATACCGTCTCATCCTCGGGCATATTGTCATAGGGTGACCCAGTCCGAAGGGCAGATCGAGGAAAATAACGTGTCTCAGTTGAAGTCCATCAGAGTCACACCAGGGATGGTAGGAGTTCCCGTCACTGAGCCTTAATGACTTATGTGCTTGTGGAATGCGGGGATGGTATGATGCCCTGAAGATCCAGTTCAGTACCGCAAAGGAGACTGGAAGGGTCACAGTTTTGTTGGTGTACGATCGTGGAGGAAAGTCAGAGGTGGATTTAATTCTTTTAACATACCAGTCTAAGTAATGTACCGTGTTTTGTTAGTCTCTGGTGTACAATATAGTGATTCCACAATTCCAAACGTGACTCAGTGCTCGTTATGATGAGTGTGCTCTTCATCCCCTTTACCTCTTTCACCAGCAAACCCCCCCCACCCCCCGCCTCCCTGGTGTGCCTCTTCTTTCCCCGTGTTCATTTGTTCCTTAAATTCCACATATGAGTGAAATCATACGGTGTTTGTCTGACTGACGTATTTTGCTTAGAATAATATCTCTCGCTCCATTCACATTATTGCAAATGGCAAGATTTCATTCTTACGATTACTTAAGAAAGAAAGGTGAAGAAATTTCCCCAGACATTTTCTGAGGAAAGGGGACGATTAAAAGAGACATTTAATCCAGGAGTCCTTCTGATTCTTGCAAGGCAAGCTGAGTGTCCGTCCTCTGTATTCTTAGGGCACGTGCCTTTATCCTTTCTTAGGCTCCATGCCGCAGTGTATTATAATTGCTGTTTCGCAAGTCTTTCTCTAGTCTAGAGCAGAAACCGTGTCCTACTTAGCTTTGCATTCCCAGCACTTAGCAAAGAAATCAGCCCATACTTGGTATTAAAAAAAACCTTGAGTGAATGAATAACTTACCATGAAATGAAGAAGAGCTTGACTATCCCATCAAGAATTGTGTTCTTGGAGAGAACACATAGTCAGGGAGCTATGACATTTAGGCTAACACGAAAATATACAGTGAAGCCTCATGGAAACCAAGCATTTTCTATGAACAGAGCACTTAAGCTCATTCAGGATTCTGAGAGAGTCAAGCATGTAACTATAGGTGCTTGAGACAATGAGGGAGGTAGGGAGAGCTTATCACAATCTGATTTTGCTCAAATTGATCAATATGTTTTTTGGTTTTTTTTTTAAAGATTTTATTTATTTATTCATGAGAGACAGAGAGAGAGAGAGAGGCAGAGGGAGAAGCAGGCTCCCAAGGAGCAGGGAACCCGATGTGGGACTCGATCCCAGGACCCTGGGATCATGACCTGAGCCGAAGGCAGACGCTTAACCATCTGAGCCACCCAGGCGCCCTCAAATTGATCAATATGTTTTAATGACCCTCCTGTGGATGCGGAAACAGTTGTACTCATCAAAGTGCATCCTGACTTAATCTGACCAGTGGGGAATCTCTTTCAATGTGGAAATGGCCAGAGCTTCATGGATATACTTTCTGGAATAATGTGATCATGAGATCAACCAAGGATGACCTAATGCAAAGGGTTTAAGTAGTCCTAGAAAATTCTGACTCATTATCTGGATGAAAATAGCAGCATACACAATGAAAGTGAATTACTAATGCCACGTCACCTGCTTAGAGTGTCTCAACTGTGACAGTCCTTTCCAAAGAGGCAGTTCCGTTGTCAACTCCAGAGTGTATGAACTCTGCACCTTCCCGAGTCCGTTAGATGTTCCTCTTGTCTTACACGGAGGTATCCATTTCTGAGCCAGTGCATGACCTACATGATAAAGAAAAAGACGAGTGATAGATGGACTTGGCCTTCTGAACAGGAAGGTGCTTTTTGTAATACCAAGCACTTACTGATTTCCCTGTGTGTGTTCAAAGGAGTATAAACCACCTGGCTGAGTTCAGTTGTGCCTACCCATAAAACGCCAGATGGCCCCCAGACACCGGCTTTGCTTACTAATCACAAGCAGTGTCATCTCTATATTGGTGTAATGTGCAGACTGATAAAGTTACGCATTTGTTGCGGGACTGGGGAAGTTTGATAACCGCACCAGCTTCTACGCTTCACAATCTGTAATGTTTACAGACCGCTTTGGGGATGTTTCTCCAAGGATAAATCGATCCCTTTAATCTTGGTATTATCTATACATCACTGAGATATTTTGCTCTGTGTTTTTACCTGTTTGCAAGATGAATGAAACCCTTCCTTCTGGGTCTCAAACCAGCATGTGACGCAGGAAGCACCTGGCAACCTCACAGTCCCCTGAACCCCGCCCGCGCCAAGCTCTCTGACGCCCCCAGGCCATCAACAGTGTGTGTAACTAAGAGGGATTGAGGACTATGCTGCTGTACAGAAAGCAGATTTTAGAGAAAAGTTTCCCTGACGTTAGACACTTGACTGAGCCACCCGGTCTTTCTTCCAAGATCTTTCGTTTGCCTTTCGCCTTAAAGAAGGGGAGTTGATATCTACTGCTCTCCACCATCCCCTTTAAAGAAAATCTTGCAGATAATCCACTTCACAATTTACCAATGGCAGGTATCTGTTTCATATGACTAGAATAATGGTGACTCTATTCCTGGTGTTTGAAAAACAGTCATGACTTTAAAATGTAATATACAGCAGTAGTTTGTTTTTTTTTTTAAGTAAGCTCTACGCCCAACGTGAGGCTTGAACTCATGACCCCAAGATCAAGAGTCGCATGCTCCACCAGCTGAGCCAGCCAGGCGCCCCTTAAAGCCAGTATAATTTTTTAACAAGAATATATTACCCATGAGCTGCCTTGGAGAAATAGTTGTCTAATTGTCTGATACATTCCATCTGAATATTGTTTGTTCCACTATTTTTTTTGTTCCCCTATTTCTATATTTCATAGTATTTAATGTACAAAAAAGGATGTATT